CGTCTGTGAGTTCGAGCCCCGCGTTGGGCTCTGTGCTGACAGCTCAGAGTCTGGAGCCTGCTTCTGATTCTGTGTCTCCCTCTCTCTCTGCCCCTCCCCCTGCTCATGCTCTGTTTCTCTCTGTCTCAGAAATAAATAAACATAAAAAAAATTAAAAAAAGAGGCATCTCCTCTGAAAATAAAACACATATGTATTTACCCATTAAATATACAAATGAAAGTTAAACTTGAGAACAAATGCATTTTTCATGAAGTCATCCTCTCAAATTACAACTTGTATATTCCTAATTTGGTCATTTCACAGTTCTGCTATATCAAAAACAAACAAACACACATATATATCCAGGTTAACACATCTCTGAGATAAACCAGAGATGAAAAATGGGGTTGCTGCTAAACTGGAAATAAGACAAACACTCTTGTCTTTGGAAGGGATGGCTGAGTGGGGATCTTGGGACTATTCAAATGTAGCCAGATTTCCAGCTCAGAGTCTCTGAGTGTGTTGGGGTACAAAAGGACCCTAGAGGTGATGAAACCTCTCTGACAGCCCCCAAGTGTTCTTTTACCAAAAGTGCAAGTTCTTACCTACAAGCTGGATTTAGAGGTTTTTGTTTGGCTTATTAGCTGCAACCATATTTCCCCCACATTTTCCTTTTGGCCATAGTGTTGCTAACCTTTGTAAACATTTAAACATACGATTAAAGTGCTCACTTGTGCTCCATCTGAGCCACATCCTGCTCCAGTTTTGAAAGCATAGCTCTCAGGGACCTCAATATGATCTTACAGTTCCCACAAAGAGCAAAATATGGCTGTTAATAGGTGGATGTTAAGGTTGTTGACATGATCCTCAATTGAGGTTAGGGGAGTCCTGGGTGGGCTTTTCTCTGTGCCAAATGCCCTGCTGCTTCACACAGCCAAACGCAGTGAACACGACTCTCTGGGAAGTCATATGTCACCATTTTTCAACGAAACATAAATCCCTCCAGCAAAGAATCCATCAATATGATAAACATATAAAATGAAGTTTCCAAAAATTGAAACATTTTGTAACCCACTCCCAAATTTCGATTCCTACTGACATCCCTACCTGAATACTAGACTTCAAAAGATAAAAACTAGTTTTTCTTCTCTAGGCTGGGGACCACAGTCACATCTTGCCTCATGTCTACTTATTTATGGACCACCTCTCCACATGAAGCAGTGAGCACCATTCCAGAGGGTGGCTGGCAAAGGCCTGTCCAAACCCTGACCTGGCTGTACTTCCCACCTCACTTCTCTGCGGAGCATCTATAATTCAGGCAATTAGGATACAAAATAAACAAATCAGGTTTCACCAGAAATGAATAGGATAAGAAATTTTAAGAACACACATCACATAATTGTAAATAATGGTGCTTCTACCAGAATCCAAATAAACACCCAGAAGTGTCATTATTCTCTCTAAAACATTAGGGACGCCACGCCCAAATGTTGGAACAATTAATATCCTTGCTTGAAGACTGTTAACGTTGGTTACACTACATGAAATTGTAGTTGCTGTTCATAACTCAAGATGAAAAAATCGACTGAACTGGTTCATGACTAGAGTGACCACAGATTGTTAAAGATGTTATCAAATACTTCTGAAAACACATTTAGATGTTTTGTTATGGGAGATAGCTTTTAAATTGTAAATTTTTTTTTTTTAAATCATGGTTCTTTGACAGAAGATGTGACATATTCCTCAGCTTACCAGAGACTGGATGGTAAAACACTGTCACAGACTGGACTCCATGTTAGTTCGGCAGGAATTGCTATACCAATTTCTATACATAAGAGGCCTTATGAAAATCTTGTGAAAAGACATCCGAAATACCGGTGTTCTGAAAATTATGAAAATCCAAGGGTCCACAATGGAGATTACAGATAGAAAACGCAAGGCTCGGAGGTCTTCCATTTCTTCAAAGGTGCCATTTTCCTCATTGACCGCTTTAAATGCTCCATAGTAAGCACGATACTGTTTTAAAGAAAAACATCCCGTTATGACACTGAAAGGCTGATGGTAGAAATAAATTCACTTACCTCACTTTAGAAACATTAATTTTTTAGGAACATGGCAACTTGGCTTGGAATATTCATTTTTGGTACAATTATAAGCAGCAAAGACCACTGCCACTGACAGGAATAAGTAAGGAGTTTGGAAGGTGCAAGGTCGACCTGAAGGCTCAGTGGAAGCGAGTGCTTCTGGGAGAGGGGTCTAAGTCCCTGAAGGCTGCTCTACTTGCTGTGATGCTGCAGGGCTGGGGTTTCCAGGTCCCTGCCAGGCTGTACACAGGAAGAGCTGACATGGGACAAATCCAGGCCACCAAATCTTTTACAAAGAGGGTCACCACGTTTCCATAAACACAGAGATTCTCTTTTCTCTGGTTTTCCTTTTTTTTCTTCTGCCTGCTTTCTGTCCTTTTATTAGCCCAGAATAAGCCTCATTTGTGAAATGTTGCATGTTTGGAGACAACAATGAAAGAGAAACTTTTAATCAACGAGGAGACAGGAAATACTCCACTGGGAAGATAGGAGGAGACTTACACAAGGACCTGTTCAACTCATGTGAATTACTTATTCTTAGGATAGATGCTTACCTTTCTGTGGTTGACATCCTCTTTTCAGACTAGGATACACACACACACACACACACACACACACACACACACACACACAGAAATATAAGGCTACTTACTTGTGCCTGACCACTCATATTGTCTTGATCTTCCCCCAGGTTCTGACCTCCTTGGAGCCCTGCAAATTGTCCCATCCCATGGCTTTTCCTCCTGTTGAGCCACCATGGCCAACACTTCAGCCAGCACTACCATTGTCTCCCACTCTGCTGGAGGCCAGCCATTATATTTCCTATGCCTACTGAGAGTCTAAATCCATAATGGGACAAAATGGACTCGAATGGGACAGAAAGCATGTAAACTCAACATTACTGGGAGGGGTTATGAATAATTGTCCAGCCCAGACCCATTCAGTGCAATCAAGGAATATGAGAAGTGTCTTCCTGTAATTGCTTCCTTACTTTTTACTCTATTTTCTATAGAGCATTTCAGTGGGCTCAGACATTCCCATCTACTGCACTTAAGAAGATACACTTAGGGATGCCTGGGTGGCTCAGCTGACTGAGCATCGACTTTTGATTTTGGCTCAGGCCATGACCTCATGGTTTGTGGGTTTGAACGCTGAGTCAGGCCCTACTCTAACAGCATGGAGCCTGCTTGGGATTCTCTCTCTCTTTATCTCTCTCTGCCCTTCCGCTGTCCACATGTGTGCACTCTTCCTCTCTCTCAAATAAATCAACATTTTTTAAAAATAAAAAAGAAGTTACACTTATATCTGAATGCCCTCTCCCATCGTCACTAATAATACTAATAGTAATAATAATGGTTACTGCCCATGTAGAGCACTGTTCTAGGCATTTCACTTTTAAAACTTCGTTTCATCCTCACAAAAATCCATTACAATCATTATCTCCATTTCAAAAATGTGAAAACTGAGCATTTTACTTTAAAACCTTTTGGATTTTACACGCCCAAATCCTAACTCCTTTCAAGGTCCATCTCAAACATTAAGCCCTTCAGGAAGTCTCTTTCAGGGAGCGGCTAAGTCCATTAGCTTTAGAGTCTGACCATGAGGTTGCATGGAACCCTCACTTGGCTGTGTGAAATTAGGCAAGTTATTCCATTTTCTCACCTATACAATGGGGATAAGTGTACCTACCTTCCATGACTGTTTTGAAGTTTGAATAAGATGATATGAGTAAAACCTTTACAACAGGTCTTAGCACACAGTAAGAACTCAAAAATTTGCCAGTATTATTATCTTATCATTAGTAGCAATAACTTTTCTCCTCTAAACTCCCTTACGGCCCCAATCACTCCATCCCTCATCCTGTATTATAGCTTATGTGGGCAGATGTGATATTTTTCTCATTTTATATCCCCACAGTGAATTACAGCACTGAATGTTGTTTGTACCAGATACATGCTGAATTTGATAAATGGTCAACAGTAAGTTGATTTGAAAACCAAATACTTTATGTAAGTCTGTTTTTACATTTGTTCCTTTCTCCTCAAAGTAGAGTACAGCAAAATATAATTTTAACTATGTCATAATACTTTATTAGTTGGGAGCTGAGTAACTAAATGAGATTTACATAACTAAAACAAACCATTTTACTTCTATGCAGTATTTGTCCATGTCCGTTCTATCGCATATTATTAGGTTAATCATATTTTCAAGTCACTTGATTTATATTAGAAATGTATACCTGGCTTTTTATTTTATTTTTATTTTTTGAGTTTACTAAAAATGTGACAAATGTATTCATTTACGACATATTATATTAATTCTGAAGAGATATCAATTTAAACACAATTTAGACTTTCAAAACCTCTCTGTTGCTCAGTAATATTCTCTAGAACATACTTTATAAACTGCTCCTATAAAAGATGGCCAGAATAATGAATAACCTCAGAATATAAACCCCTCATGTTTAAAGTAGTTCAATTTACACAGTGAATTGGTATGAGAAGAGCTCCCTCTACTGGACTTAAGAGTCCAGGAAAAAAATGCTATGTTGCCAACTTGCTGGAGATGTAAGTAGCTGGACATCCCTGCTGAGGAGAGCTCTCTGGATTCTAATGCCCCTTCTATCCAGTTTATCCATCACAACACCCAGACCTCATCCTCTGCACTAGCCCCTTTAAATCCACTTTCAACTCTTTTCCCTGGACCCATGTTTTGCCCACCTCTAACAGCCTCCTTTGAAAGGAGCATCCTACCCATTCTGTTTGCCCACCAAAATGAAATACACACATGAGTTCTCTCAATACAGGCAGGATGTCCTCTATCACTTCTCTGACTCCATGGATTCTGATATATGCAATTATACAAGCTCGTCCTTATCTTTATCTGGCCTATAAACTTCTCAGCTATTATGGCTAATCTATCATTAGATCCCTCTTCCATCCATCCCTGCTCCCCTACCAACCTCCAATACATTGTGGGTCTCTAAGGTAAAATGAATTTTGATGAAAATATGTTACATGCATTAGAGAATGTGCTACAAACTTCTTCTAAAGCTCATCCCATAGTCTCTATATTTTCTTCCAAAAAAAAAGTTTTCAAAATGGAAATCTGAAAATTCAGTTTGGTTAAGTATCTTGCTCTAATGCAGCATTATAGCAAAATTAATTAAAAAAAATCAAACCTCAATAAATTTTTCACTGGCTTAATGAAATATATTATTCATGCTATGAGCAAGGTTTTTTTTTTCTCCCTTCACATATAGCCTTTATTTTTCCCAGTCGCCAGGCCCATTCCTTAGGAGAGTGATTTTCAAAGTGTGGGGGTTTCCAATACCTGTTCAGTGTGTCTTCAGGGTATCATATCATTAAAAAGGTACAATATCATAAAAAAGATTTATTTGCCTTTTTCACTCCTAGGTGTACAGTAAGTTTTACCAAGGATACCTGATGTGTAATGACATCATCACTCCAATGGCTAATGGAATATATACTGTGTATTCTTGTGTTTGCTAGACCTTTCTTAGGTAGTTGATTTTGAATATACACATACGTACATTTTCAGAGAATGTTCTCAGTACTTCTGTGCTCCTAACATGCTTTTTCTTTCATTTCATCTTCTATAATCTCTAGAATTTTATTATCATTCATTATATCTTCGTGAAAGCCCCAAGTTTTCCTTACACCAATACAGAAACACAAGAAGTAAGTATATTTTGTTAACTTGTTTTGCAATAATATTTAAAATTTTTCTTATTTAAAATTTCTAATATGATAAATACTAATAGATATAATCTACAAAAATTAAAGTTCTTTGTATCCTTAATAATGTTTAAGAGTGAAAAGGGGTCTTTAGACTAAAAAAATGTTAGAAAACCACTGCATTAGAAAATAATGCTCAGGGGGAGGAGTTAAGATGGCAGAGTAGTAAGGGAACCGTGGGCTTGTCTCCTCCTGAAAACACAACTAGCTCAACATCAAACCCTTCTGAACACCTCGGAAACAGATCTGAGGATTAACAGAACAATCTGCATAATTTGAGGGAGAGAACACAGCAGGGTACATGGTGTGGAGAGGTGAATCAGGGGAGAGAAGAGCCATGGTGCCGCAGAGGGGAGGCAGAAGTATTCAGAGAGAGGAGAAAGAGGGGTAGACAGAACAGCATATCGGGTTTGTGCAAGAAAGCACTCCCCCTGAAAGCAGCAGAGAGAAACAGTAAAAATATGGACAGGGGACTGCACAAGAAAACTGTCCCCCAGAACTACTGATGCCACTGGGGGCGGGGGAGGAGACGGTTTCAATACCACCAGTTTCTTATAAACAGCAGAGCACAGAGTCTGAGGTTTAGAGGTCAGCCACTGGTGGTGCTCTGGCAAGGAATGGGGGTAGAGCCATGGGCAGTGGGGTCTGAGGACCCCCTGGGTTGCTCAGTAAGAAATGGTTCC